TGTACAATAGCTTTTGATTTAATCATAAATTAAGATGAAAGTCAGATGAAAATATTTCAGTTTTTACCCACAAGAACTGCTGCTGTGATCTTAGAACCTAAGGAGCTTTAGCAATATGGCCATCTCCACAGGAAATGGAGCTGGCACTGAAGCAGGACGTCCTGAGGTGTGAGAAGTGGCTTGAGGTGATTACAGAGCAGGATAAACAGATGAGGATGTTTAAGACTTGTCACACCATAGAGGAGCTCTTTGTCCATCAGAAGAGCATTCATCCAGGTCTCAGCTACGAGCGGATTCCCCTGTCTGACTGCTGTGCACCTAAAGAAGAGGCAAGTGAATACACTATAAGCATGGTATAGATTTGGCATTTTAGTTGAAATGTTGTTGCTCTCCCTCAGGTTTTTGACCACTTATTGGAGGCCATGAAGAGCAGTCTGGCGGAAGACTCCAACTGTGCTTTCATCTTCAACTGTCATAATGGGAAAGACCGGACTACTGCAGCCATGGTGATCGCCACTCTCACCCTGTGGCACATTAATGTAGGTCATTTTCAGCTATAAGCTGTTTAAGTGGAGGGAGGAAGTGAGGAATAAAGTATTCATCTCCAGGACATTGATTAGAAGAGGAAAAATGTTTAAACTGTTACATAAACTTGACCCTGTTTTCTTCAGGGCTTTCCTGAGTGTGAAGAAGATGAGATTGTAAGTGTTCCAGACGCCAAGTACACCAAAGGAGAGTTTGAGGTACATTGAGGTCATGTTTCTTTGAACAGCTGCCAGTGTCAGCATTAAAACAAACATTTTGTTAATTTTGAACATATAAATTCTGTGATTAATAAACCCACCCATGCAAAGTAAATGAATGTGTTTGATGCATTTAATAGAAGATTGTTTCTATTATAGAAATAGATTAAAAAACATTTGATTTGATTAATTTTGACCCATGCATGCAAGTATGTGCGTTCAGGTGGTGATGCAGGTGGTAAGGGTGTTACCTGATGGCCATCGTGTGAAGAGAGAAGTGGATGTCGCTCTGGATGTTGTTAGTGAGACGATGACCCCCATGCATTACCATTTACGGGAAATCATCATATCCACTTACAGACAGGTGAAATGTGATGTATAGTAACTTTTATGTTGTTCATTTGATGTTTTTTGCTTGCATAAACTTCAGCAGGAAAAGTCAACTAAAAAAGGTAGATAATAGGACAGTCAGTGCTTTTAGGAGCCGTGTTGAATAATAGATTGCTTCCAAAGCAATTGTTTTTGTATGTAACATAGCCTTGAAAAGTCTATATAGGTACAATTTTCTAATTTGTGTTGATCTGCTGAAAAGGGCCAAGAGATTATTAATGCCCATTGCAGTGCATCAGCTTAGAGCACTCTGAATGTGTTTAATTTGAGGCTGAAAAACGTGCTTTTATTTTAAAGTGAAGACCTTGATAAACAGCAGCGTAAATGAGCAGAGAGCTTTCCAAAAGATTCTGCTTTGAAAAGGCCTGCAAATACTTTGTTAGGGTCCAAGACTTTATATTTTAATCTTTTGAAATATGTTCTGAGGTACTGGTGCAACTCATTTAGATCCCAAATATACATTATGAGTTACATATATTCTTATTATTATGTAACAGTTGTTACAGAAGCTCATAAATCTGGTGAAACACATTTCCTCTATGATACACAGAGATGTAATTCAAGTTCTTATCTAAGATGGAGTATCATGTTTGAATTTGCACTAGTTGATCAGTGTTTATGTCTTAATTCATTTGCACCAAACTTTGGCTTTTAAAAAAAAAGGCTTTTGGCTTTAAACTTATTCCAACTGCTTATGCAGATGACGCAAATACCTGATCCTGTTCTCCACCTCCTGTCCTTTCCTGTAATCTCCTTTACTGTCTCTGTTAATAAAACATGGAAAAGATGAAAAATAGTTCATGAATTTTCTGATGGGTAAATCAATTGCATGTTACATTATTCTGGCCTTTTTTCACACATATTTTTGTAAATTATCTAATAAAAAATATAGAGGTTCAGTAGATTGCTAAGGAAATTAATGTCAAGAGCAGAAGTTGTAATATGTATATCAGTCAGCTAAGCAATGTGCACCTCAATGTAAACACTGATGTAATCACTTGTTTATGTATTAACGTACCAAAGTGAATGGACACTGAAATTAATAACTGTATAATCTTAATAAAAATGATTGAACAGCTGATTATGTCGTGCCATCAGCATTTTGTCACAAATAACAAGGAAACTAGAGGAATAACAATGAGTTCACTGGCACTTCTTCCTCCTCAGATTAAGATGGCTAAATCAGAGGCTGATGCTCAGTGGTTGCGGTTAAGGAGCCTGCAGTACCTCGAGCGTTACATTTATCTTATCCTGTTCAACTGCTACCTCCATCTGGAGAAGAAAGATTCCTGGAGGCGATCCTTCAGCCAGTGGATGTACCAGGTGAAGTCTGACTCACTTCAGGGGAAAAACACATTCATAATATATTCACACTTACATAATATATTTTCATTGCAGTGGCCTAGTACATAATCTTAAATATTTCTTGTTCATTTTACCTCATAGCTTTTCTTTGTTTTCAGTTTACAAATCACTAAAACTTTATTTCCAGGTAAAAAAAAAAAAACAGCTTCACAAGGTGGTCTCCTACTTTTCAGAGTATGAGTTTGTTAACATAAAAATAGCAAAAAGTGCCTTAATTACTGTATCAGCTTTCAGTACAGATTCAGTACCCAGTTTTTGTTTTAAAAAATCAAGATAAAAGTATAAAAGTGTGCTGTTTTGAAGATATCTTTTTTTAAAAAGCAGTTACATTGTAAGTTCACTTTCAGCTTGAAGAAAGATACAGGTATGACCTGCCACTCATACTCAACACACAAGCCTATCTATAGTTAAAATGTTTCTGTACCCTTGACAAGCTGATGGGAGGACACCCATGGTGCAGCAGACCAGTGCCTTGTGCCAAGATGAATGGCTGAACACTTATCTGGCTCACTGTGCTGCAGCTAAACATAGTTCTGAGTTCCATGAAACATTCATGGGAAAATGTCAATGTCAATATGAAGTTGTAAATGTATTCTGTCTCATTCAGAGGTTTCCTGAGTCAAACCTTAGTTTATAGCCACATCTTTTATCCTCGGATTGAAAGGGTAAGAGAATTGGAAGACTGTAAGGCACCTAGTGTTTTCTTACTTTTTACAGTTGAAAACTATGTCTTTGAAAAGAAAAAAAATATCATGGTTAATCTCAAAGATGAATTTTCAGCAGAGTTTTCAGTGTTACATGATCAGAAATCATTCTAATATTCAGATTTGGTGCTCAAGAAACATAAATATTGAAAACAGTTAAGCTGCTTAATATTTTTTGGAAAGAGAAGTTCAAAAGAACATAATCAATTTAAAATATAAATATTTTGTACCTTTATAAATGTATTTTCTGTCGGTGCTGATTAAAAGTATTTCTTTCTTTCTTTCATTCAAAAATGTTTTTGAATGGTAGTGTATTTATTGGATTACACGCTAGTTTAAAGAACCCTGCTCTAACATATATAGTTGAACTTGAATTGTTTAGTAAGAGGTTATCACCTCATTTGACCACTAAACAGCCTGTCCTCATGTTTACAAAGAAAAACATCCAAATTGTTCTTGAGGTAGATTTAGCTTTAGCACTTTGTAGGTTTTTATGGAAGCTGAGCTCTGTGGATTTGTTCAATTGTGAAGTACGTTGAAAATGCACCAGTTTAATATTCTGTCAAGGCCACAAAAGCATTTTACTGTCATCCTGCCATCCTTTACGGACAAGTGAGCAGCTGCGCCACTTATAAACATAAGTGTACATCTTGCAGTAAACCCCACTTACACACGCACACACACACACACACGTGTGCATATAGATATGCATTTATGATTTGTGCTGGTTTGCAGGTGGCAGCTAGAGCTGGTGTCTATGCCATCCTCAACCATCTGGGCTTTTCTGAGTTTGAGAACCCTGACGACTCTCCGATGGCCAGGCTCCGTTTCCGCTGGCTCCCACACAGTGTCCAGTCTATTCCCATGCGAGGGCAACTTATTTAGAAAAGCATAGTATGTCGAAATGACTAAATACTGACTCACATTTCATAAATATGTTTTTATTACCATTTCTGTCAGACTCATTAAATCAAGAAGTGATTTAATGCATCCTGTTATCTTATTTACATTTTTGACTCTTATCTTTGGCTTGGCAGTGTTATGTTTTGTCCTTGTAAAATATAAGACAACAAACACAGAAGATGGTTAACCCAATAAACCACACATTAATGCTAATAAACGTTTTAATGCTGACCTTAAAAAATTTGCACACTGTTATAAAAAAGTCACCTCATTTGTATATAAAACATTTAATTAATTGAGATTTTACTTAAAGTGACGGTCTTGCTGGATGATCATTTGTATTCATGTACATGGTTATTAAATTATACATATTTCTAGAACAATTTGCCTCATTAATTCATTAGATAAAACAGTTTAGTTGTATTATTTGTCCGTTAGAGCCCATTAAGATCATTTAATAATTTCTTTCAGTTAGTTGAACTAAAGGGGGGAAAATAGCACAACTCAAATGTTTGAATAGCCTGAAGTTTTAGACTGAACAAACTAATGATTGACGTCATTTCTATCCATCTTGTCCTCCAGACTTGAATTGTACATAAAAACCCGCTGTTCCTTGTCTAGACTTCAGTCTTAAAAATATGTCAAGTTTAAAATTAGTTTTAAGGCCAATATACTTTACGATTTCTGACAGGTTCTAGGTTTGCAATAATCATTGCCTGACTGTACATTATCTGGATGAGATTGTCCAATCAGAATCAAATATGCAAAAAAAAAATAATAATAATTGTAATTCATTAAAGACATACTCAGAATGCAAACTGTGTAATGTTTTAAACAAGTTAAATTAATTTTGGTTACATTTTTTGTCTTCATCCTCATTTATGGATTTTCCCTCATGGAAAAGGTATAGGTGTAGGGAGAAAGAACTCATGCAGCAGTCTTAGGCACAGAATGACTTGTTTGTCTCTGATCTGTCTGTGTGTAGAGGACTGTGGGCAAGGTAAAATGAACCCTGCTTGGCACTCAAGAACAGTGAAGAGCCATGTGCTTTGGAGAAACTGTATCTCATACATACTGTAACCTGCCATCTGTAGTGTCCTCCCAGCATTCTCTTGTTATTCGTAGCTCTGTCTCGTATCATGATTATAAACAGCCCTGTAGCTTGTGTCAGGAGACCAGTGCTTCACTGTGGAGACTGAAAACTTTGTGGATTCTCTTATCTTCTCCGGACTCAGCTTATTCCAATTCTCAGTTTTTAGAATGTCTTTTATTTTGGGAGATATTTTAAGATATTTTGAGATTTTTTTTGCTGATATTCCATAAATTTGAGGGCACAAGCACTTTCTCGCCGTCTCAGCTAAATCATACATCAGCTTTTTATATTTGGTTGTGAGGCAGTGACAGCTGTTGTGAAGTGTTTCTAGATATATCCTGCGTATATGATAAAATACGTTCAACATCACTGATCCAAATCTACAAGCATCTTGACATTCATAAGGCATAGTGCGATTGTGTCTGTATATCATTACACAGACGGGAAAAACACATTTTTATGGACAATTCTTGTCATAATAGTCATCAAGCTAACTCTAACGTTGTTGCTGGCTTCATAGTTGTCATTTTTTTACATTTCTTAAAATGTATTCACCCTCAGGCCATCCAAGATATAGATGAGTTTGTATCTTCATCAGAACACATTGGGAGAAATTTAGCATTGCATCACTTGCTCATCAATGGATTCTCTGCAGTGAATAGATCAGGTGCCGTCAGAATGAGAGTTTAAACAGCTAAGAAAAGCATCACAATAATTGTTAATAAACTATTTATTTATTACAAACATGCAGCTTTTTGATTTACTAGATGGAGTGGAGTTGTCAATTACTTGTGGATCATTGTGATGTTTTTATCAGCTGTTTTATCATCTCATTCTAACGGCACCCATTCACTGAAGAGGATCCCTTGGTGGGCAAGTGATGTAATGTTAAATTTCTCAATTTTTTTCCAATGAAGAAACAAACTTATCTACATATTGAATGGCCTGAGAGTAGAACTAGTCCTTGAAAACTCTGGTTAGTAGTTTTTCCATCGTTCTTTCATGCCACAGTCTAGAGTACAACTATCCATATATTCCGCTGACCTGTGTACTTTTGGTTTACATTGAATTTCAGGGCACGCTGTAATAGGGAACAGTGACAGTAGAAGTGCTCAGCTCTGAATTCAGATTTCATTTCATTGCATGAAGAAGGAAGAACGGGAGCCATAGCTGTATTTCGGTTTAATAGACAGTATAATGAGGACGGGACTGTCAGGAGCATTTATCAGAATAATGCTGAAGATTTTTTATTTTTTTTACCTCCACTGCCATACCGGCAAGATAATGGAGAGGTAATAACTTAATCTTGTGCATATTAATAAGAATGTTTTAAAATAATACAGCATTTCATGCAAATATTCCATTCAGTCAAAAAAAAATCACTTAACATTTAGGTGAGTCCATTTATTTATTTAGTTGCATCACTGCAGGTGTATTTATCACTGAATCCTTAAGCATTAGTTAATTGAGGATGTATTTAGATTTGATATATTGTATAAGGACAGGGCTCATTATACATATTAATACAAAAAAAACATATTCTCGATTACACAAATTGATGCAATGTACACAGATTTTGTTTCCCCCTGAAATCAAATTTTTCTTTGTTGAAATGTCGGTAAAGTAAAAAAATAAATAACAATACAAGAAATAATGAGCAATCAGTAGCAGTCTATAGAGGCTTCTCGGTCGAATCCTGTTCTTTCAGAAGACTGAAACTATTGAGAGAGCATTTCGTCAGATGAATAATTTCTCTAAGTCTTCACTCCTCTGTAGTCAACTAATTAATCACCTACTTCCTTTTCTGATTTTAAGATGCTGGTACGCATACAGTAATGATCCTCATCTATGTTAAACTACGAGATGCACTTTCAGATCCAAACCCACAAGAGTACTTTGATCACAAATGTATTCTAATCCCTTGAAGGCTCATAAGAATACTATAACATAATTAATACAAGTACAAATGCTCTGCAACCTCAAATTAAATTAATATGAACACATTGCTTCATACAAAAAAGTGCAGTATATACACACACACACACACATATATATATATATATATATATATGTGTGTGTGTGTGTGTATATACTGTGTATATTATTTTTGAAGTAGTAGATCATGCATAATCTGCATTCCACTTCTATGCATAAAGCATCTACATAATAGAGTTTTTATTCTGTGTTAGGGGTTGTCTGGATTGCAGCCATGATGGTTGGATCTCCAATGCTCTTTGTTCAACAATTAGAGGTACTAATCAGATTTTTTGGTTGAAATATTCCGTTTGAAGCTTTCAGAACATTCAAAACATCCCCATCCAACTTGTTGAAACATTACTTAGCCTGCAGTCTGTGGGTGTATTACCATTACAAAAGTATACTTCAGGATTTCCCCAAGGTTTAACTTGTTAGAAGCTGTCAGGTGCCTTCTGGTCCAAAGCAAAAAATATATATATTTGAGATTATTCACATAATAACACTGGTCTATTTCATATGCTATATTGGTAATGGTTTTCATATGCTAATTAGTTCTTTCAAATCTCTCTGTTCTTTTCCTCTGTGTACAGGTGAAATATGATTTTCTATATGATCTCCATCATGTGTGCTGTCAGGAGTGCTGGAGCTCGAGTGCCCACAGGAAGCAGTATGCAACCTTCATTCTAGTGTTCCTCTTCCTCCTGCCTCTTGCAGCCATGCTGCTGCTCTACACCAGAATTGGTATTGAGCTCTGGATTCACAAACAAGTTGGAGACGCTTCAGTCCTCAATACCATGAACCAAAGAGAGGTCTGCAAAATATCCAGGTAATTCTTTTTTTTTTTACATTTCTCAGCGCATGCTGTATTTGACTGACTCTAATCTAAACAGCTATTTCTTGTTTTATAGTGTTTCCATTATAATATACACTACCGGTAAAAGTTTGGAATAATTAATAAATAGAATAAAGAATTTGTAATGTTTTTGAAAGACAGTGAAAACAGTAATAGACCAATTTGGAGTAGACGTCACAGTTACGTCACATGCAGCTGTTGCACCACATTGTGGTGGCAGAAAAACACTGGGAACAAGTGGAGGGAAGCGGGTAAAATCCACGGAATAAGAGAAAAAAAATTATTGTTGTGCCTTTGGATGTCAGAATCGGAATGCAAATAATTTTATATAATACTGTCGTCAAAGATGCCATTTGAAGCTAAACGCAGACGTTTAAACTGACAGACTCTGGGAGTCAGTGAGTCGCTATACTAAGTCATGAGTAAACCTAAATGAAAGGATCAAGTACCCCCTACAGTTCTTTTTTAGTTACTAGAACTCTCGTGTAAGTAAACTATACTAACTAAGCATCTGTCAGTACAACATACTATTGCTATTTCACTTTACTTCGAGGCAAAAGGCTTGCCTTTTTTTTCAAGGCAATCGGTTTGCATGCTTTTTTTAAGTAAGCCCAACTAATTAGATTTTACAGTGTATGGATGAAACCTGCTATGATTACCCTACTTTAAATAGGGATGTAACGATTCACTCAACTCACGATTCGATTCGATTCACAATTTTTTTTTAACAAAATGAAATTTAAGACAAATTATAAATTAAATGTGTCCTTTTATTATTGCTTAGACAAAATACTGTACGTTTCTTTGTGAAATTGAAATATAACACTATAATGATATACTAATATAGCACTTGTAAATTATTGCTCTTTTGTTGGTTTTGATTGCTATTATTGTCCTCATTTGTTAATCGCTTTGGATAAAAGCGTTTGCTAAATAACAAAATTTAAATATAATGTAAATGTAAATAATAAAAGTATTTTTTATATATTTTTTTAAAACAAGCCCCAAATCAAATAAATAAGTAACACAAATAAAAGAAATCTCTTCATATAAACAAACTAAGGCTTTGTCTGTGAGGCAACCACTGCATTTTAATCATGATCCAAACAAAGATGCTGCATACATGCAACGAGCAGTTTTTAATCTAAATTACATTGTATAATTTCTAAATTTGAAGCAAAAACAGAATAGTTTGACTTCAGTTTTGTGAAACTATGCATAAAAAATATCTGCATGAAACA